AATTGTTCTTGGACGCTTCCATGAGGGAGAAAGTTGATTGCAACCCTAAAAGTGAGGTAACTGGCCTTGGTAAGTAATTATCTAGAGGTTAAGCTAAAATTCTAAGTATGCAGAACAGTGGTTAGGCCAGCACATTGCTCCAAACAGAATGTCCAGAATTCCTAATTCATTTCAGATGCTGTTCACTAACCATCACTCTCAGCACCATCGTATTGCTTATACCATCATCAGCCAAAGCATTCTAACTTGCATTGCCATCTTCCCTAAAGCATCTTTTATAGTTCTCAATTAAAGAATAGTACCTTGCATATAGACCGACAATTTTCAGATCAACAATCAACTTACAGATTTCAATTTAAATGTCCACCAAACAGATAGAACAATGCCAAGTGACCTCCAAAGTCCACAAACCCATGTCTATTGCACAATTCTTATCTTTGGGGCAGTTAAGTTAACACAAACAAGAAGAAAATTATTGGAGTAATAAAAAATTGCACAAAACATGGCATGCACACAAGATGTTTACGAGGGTCATAAGGATAGAGGAATCAAGATGTAACAAAACTAAATGAGAAAACTGCACATGATGGCATGATAGATGAATTACTGCTGGTTGTATCAACAACGTATTGTGACCTCTAATTCCTAAGGTTGGCCTTTATGCTATTTAGTTAAGCTGGATAAGCATGATATAGTGAGAATTGCCAAGTTTAGTCAAAAGGTTCTTGCATGAATTATATAGCAAGCATAACAAGCTTGGGAGAGCATTAACAAATTTTAGCTTAGTCCAAGAAATAATGAGATTTTCGCTTCCATGGCCCCCCTTAAAAAGCATTGTTTAACTTACTTAGCTTCCTCTACATCAGATGAAGAATTTTGCACTGCCAACTACAGATTCATCCTGGATCTGTTCCCAAGTATATATGCATATTAATTAAATCTTTGTCTACAAACACCTCCCTTCCTGCAACTAAATTGGGGGTATTACTCCAGAAAGTTTGATTGCCTTGTTTTCAACAAAGTTCGTTATCAAATGTCAAAGTTTAACATATTTCAATAAGTTCGGACGTAAACCCAGACATTTCTAGACAAAGAACTAAGATAAGAGAAATTACAGTTAATATAGAAGTTATGTAACATGTCAAAATATTCATAGCGCAATATGTGAATTGCTGGAGTTCGTCAAAAATATTTCATTCAAAAGAATCATTTCTGCATGTACGAAACCATTTTGGTTGAATACAGCACTTTGAAAGTGACAACTAATAATCAGATCCAAAATTTTGGTAAATAGAAGTAATCCAGTATGAACACTTACAGCTCATTGCTGTCTACTTGGCAAATGATGGAGCAGGGCCGGTATTTGTCTAAAGGCCAAAATTGCATGCTTGAACAAATTCCATATCATTGTCTACATACTTAGTCCAGAGATTCTTGTATTGGTTCATTGCAATGTCAAGCCAAGGTTTCATGTTTCCATTATAATGAATGACAGCAGCATTGCTGATCTCGTCCATACTAATACTTGGATTATATCCGAGGCCAAGCACATGCCAGGATTTGTCCAGGGACTTCGTCGTTGAGTAAAAGGTGATCAAGCCAGGTGGTAGAGTACCCAGTTTCCATAGAGTGCGTTCCTCATTCTGTGATCAGAATTTATTATGTTACTTTTTGTGGCAATTAAAAGGAGAAATCCTGTAAGAAATAAGTTAGTTGGAAAGGAAGGAAAGATGCACCTACCCGGCTCTGCCAATAATGATACTGCTCTGTGCATTTCTCCCGCCTCCATGCATCAAGATCAAATATATTCATCCCAAATGCCCAGGCACAGGCCTTGGGATTAAACCTCTCCTTAATCAAAGGATGTGAAAAGTTCAAATACTGTGCATAACGATGAAATGATCCAAAGCAAGTCTCAACAGCTCCATTCACCTTACCATCCAAATCAACCTTCCACAGCCCAGTCAAATCCTTCTGAACCACAACATCATCATCCATAAACAAAATTTTATGCAACTTAGGATACATCTCTGGCAAATAAAACCGAAGATGATTCAACATAGACAAGTACTTGGGGTTCCGAAACTTCATGTTAGTCGAATCTTTGGTAGCATTCTCTGCCTGGTTCTCAAAATAAAACTTCTGCATATTAGCATTCTCAAGCTGCCTCAAAACCGGCACATATGATGAATTCAAGAATCTATACTCCTCCACTGCCTTGATCCCTACAAAAGCGCCACCTTCCACAGGCCGCATCCTAAACCAAACCTTCATAGCTGCAACATTCATCCTATCCGTAACCACGTGAAAAACATGTTTCCACGGTTCCACCGCATTCTTCACCACAGACCTAATCACAACTGAAACTGCAATCACATTATCTGAAAAAATAGCATAATGATACAAACTCGGATCCTCAAACTCCTCCTTATACCCTTCCTCCTTGTACTTATCCGGATGGGCAACCCTCTCCTCCACAAGCCTCATCGCCAAACAATGCAAACTCTTCGGTACAGACTTGGCAGAAATCAAGCTCGCAAACGCTCCATTCTTCTTGGCCTTAATTAACAACTCATTAACTGCAAAAATCGTATCTTTCAACTTCTGAATTTTTATCTGATTATCATAACTCTCCTTCGATTCCACTATCATTAACCTGGCAACTTTCACTATATCCTTAACTTCCTTCTCAAATTGCCTTAAAACATCCTCATCCACCAGACTACCCGGCTCGAAAAGCGAGGATTTATAACTCGGTTTCAAAGGTAAATCCGTTAAATTCTTAGCTAATTCATCAAACATTCTTAACTGTTTAGAAATATCAAGCTTGAGTTTTCTCGCATACGCGGCGTATGCATTGACTAAAGTCATGTGATCATTCGCTTGTTTATATATCAAATCTAATCGTGTTTTTAAGGGATCTGATTTAACCGCCAAAAAGGTACGTTGTACGTAAGCATTTCCGCTACTAGGCAGTGACTGTTCCACAAATCCAGCATTCAAAAACGCAAAAAACAAATAAATGAAGTCAACGAATTGAATTGAATTGAAATATTACAAAAGACATGTAGTTTTAGTGAGGTTTCGATGCTTACGTCGTCGTCGTGATGGTGATGGTGATGTTGAGAGGAGAAGAGAATGGAGAAAGTAGCAAGGAAGAGAAGAGTGAAAATGGCAGAGATGAAGATCCGGTAAGAGAAAAAAGTGCGGAGTCCACCGTTGATGCCGCCGCTGCCTCCCCCTCGACTTCCTCTGGCCGCCACCGCCATTGTTGGATTTTAATCAGGATCTGAATTATGTTTTTTTAGCTTGAAGAAGTGAGAGGGGAAAGGTCGTTGTTTTGTTGGCGATCTCAAACCGAAAGGGATCTGTCATCTCTTATCTACTTAAGTGTTTAGTTACGCGTACTTGCTTTATATATATAGTAAGATTTTGGATTTTTCGTCATAAATAAATATGATCGGTTTTGTATTTTAAATCCTATAGATTATTCAATATCTCACTTCTATAATTGGGCAGTATTTTGGGAACGTGGTTTTATATCTAGACAGCTTTTGGAAGTTAAAGTCATGTTTTTAAAAATTTAAAATTTATTTTTTATGTTATTAGATTATTTTAATGTATTAATATGAAAAATAATTTTAAAAAATAAAAAATATATATTATTTTGATATATTTTTAAAAAACACTTCAAACCACAACTATCATCACACTCTACAACACCCCATAATTATTTAAAACTTTCCAATGTTTTCCCAAGTCATAATATATTCTATTTTTTTTAATTTGTTTTACTATAGTATTTTAAGTGTTAACTTGTATGAGATTTGAGAGGGAAAACAATTTGTATGAGATTTGAGAGGGAAAACAATAAATAAATGGAGAAAATAGTCTTTTCTTAATTATTTATTTAGTAGTATAGGGTAAAATTAAGATTTGTAAGACAATAGGGTAATCATTATAAAAGGATTTAAAATCTATTGATATTGAGATGGATTTGGTATATGATGGCATGAAAAGGTATAAAAAGATTAATATAGGTATGTATAGAAGAGTGGCTGTTGTTTTAAGAACCAGGGGGTAAATTTAGGAAATTAAAGACTACGGGGATAGAAATAAACAATTGATGAATTTACAAGGGTGAAAATATGGTTTATTTTTTATAGGCAAAAGAAGACAGGGGGGGTGCTGGTGCATCATGCCACGTAGTATTTGTCTTGTAGATCTTGTAAAATTGAGCTGAGAGGGGCCCCACGGAAGATTTGACAGATAGATTATGGAATCATTGTCATACACTAATTATAGTTGTCGTCTGTCCTGCTTTGTTTTTTAATTTTCTTACAAATGTGATCGTCGTCGTCACTAATGAGCCAAAAACAAGTGGGTGTTTTACTCCACTCTTATTGAAAAGGTAATAGTAGCATAACCCGGGTGGGTTAATTTTTTTATATAAAAAATATAAAAAAGTTTAGATTTAAAAATATTAGATTTTTTTTAAAATTATACCCAAAAATCTTGGATGTGACTATAATATCTGATCTAAAAATAATATTTATAATAATAATAATATTAAACTTGCATAACTTAGTAGGTCTAGCTCTAATACCAGACCTAATAGCTTTGGATGCAGATCTGGTTGTAAAGTCATATTATAAAAATATAATAATTAAATAAATTAATTAAAAAAACCAATAGAAAGAAAAAAACTAATGAAGAAAAATGAAAAAATCAAAATTAACTAGGTTAACCCGTCAAACATTGGATTTATGTTGTGAAAATTTGATAACTAAATAAAAAAAATCGACGGGTTAACCCCGAATTAACCGGGCTAACCCGTCAAATCAGGTTACCTGTCAAACCCAAGATCCATGTCATGAAAGTCTGATAACTAAATAGGAAAGAAAAAATAAACATTAACAACCTAAACTAAACAAAAAAAAATTAATAAAAAATAATAAAAAACAAAAACAAACAAAAGATATAAGCCTGTTACTAATGAGGAAAAAGAAAAAAAATCTGAATCAACTGAATTAACCCATCAAATCAGGTTAACCCGTCAAACATGGGATTCGCGTCATGAAAGTTTAATAACTAAATAGAAAAAAAAATTGATGGGTCAAACGAAAAAAAATTAAGAAACTAAACTAAACAAAACAAAATTGATTAAAAAGGAAAAAAAACAAAAAAAATTCAGGTTAACTCGTTAAACTAGATTAACCCGTCAAACCCGAGATCCGTGTCATAAAAGTATGATAACTAAATAATTTTTTTTTTCACATTAATAAACTAAATTAAACAAAAAAAAATCATTAAAAGAAATAGAAAAGAAAGTGAACATTAACAATCTAAACTAAACAAAAAAAATTAATTATAAGAAAAAAAACAAACAAAAGACATAAGCATATTACCAATGAGGAAAAAGGAAAAAAATCTGAATCAACTGCGTTAACCCGTCAAATCAGGTTAACCTGTCAAACCTGGGATTCAGGTCATAAAAATTTACTAACTAAATAGGAAAAAAAATCGATGGGTCAAACGAAAAAAATTGATTAAAAAGAAAAAAAAATTAGGTTAACTCGTCAAACCCAAGATCCGTGTAATAAAAATATGATAACTAAATAAAAAAATTTCACATTAACAAACTAAATTAAACAAAAAAAAATCATTAAAAGAAAAAAAACACAAAGAAAAAGGCCAAAAAAAAACCCATAGGCAAAACCAAAAAAAAAAAGAGAAACAAAAATGAAAAAAAAAAAGTTAAGTGTTCACTGTTCATTGTGTGCACAACGATACATTATATGTATAAAACAAAAGAAACAAAAAAAAAACTACTGCTATAGTGAAAAATTCACACGTTTTAGAGTATTCTATAATGCTTTAGTTTCTAGAGGTTGTTATTTATATTTTGTTTATAAAAGTTCATTTTCCATGCTTTTAATGTTGCAAATTCGATCTCTAGAGTTTTTAAAGAAGTTCAATTTAATCTTTAAAGTTTTCTGTTATTATATTTTTTGTCCCCGTAACTTTAGGTGCTTACTTTTTTGGTCTAAAACCTCATTTCTCTCACATTCCAACCCCTAGATATTGCAATAATCTCATTTTGGTCCTTAAAGTCTTCATAGAAGTTTGATTTGGTTTCTAAAGTTCTTAAATTTCATGTTTATGGTACTTGTAATTTTATATTTTTATACTTTGATCTTAAAACTTCATTCCCCCCTGTTTTCAATACCTAAATGTTGTAATTTTAGATTTTTTTATTTTTTTATTTTTCAATTTTTAAACTAATTAGAGTATTTTAAAGTTGAAAATAGAATTATTGACATTCCTATGATTATTTTTTGTGTGTTTCTAGGTGAAGACAAGTTAAAATTTGGGTTTTAGAATCCTTGAACTTAGATTGTGCTTTGGCAGACGATGTTTCATCTATTTTATAAAATAACAAACTTAATAGACTATATTTCTTCTACTTATATATATATATAAAAAAGCATGTTGGCCAACTTTTCTAGACCTAAATATGTTTAGCCCTATTTGTTTAGTGGAAAGTAGTTTTCTTGATAAAAATGAATTTTATAAAAGTAAATTATTTTATAATATTTGGTTGTGTAATGGGAAATAAGCAATTTTTCACAATTTCTAAAAAGTGTTTCCTATTTAAATTTTCCAAGAAAACACTTTATTGGAAATCAAGTTAAATTTGTCTTTGATTGAAAAGTGTTTTCGTTGACCATATTGGAAATCAAGTTAAATTTTTCTTTGATTAAAAAGTGTTTTCGTTAACCAACTTTTCTAATAGCAAATAAACACGGGAGAATTTGAAATGAGGTTTCCTGAAATCATGTTTTCAGAAAACAAACACAACCTAAATCTTTTATTTTCAGCTAAGTGTGCTTGAGTTGTCCTTTAAAACCCAAGTGTTTGGTTCTTGGATTTTTTTATATTTTAAAATAAAATATTTCTTAAATAAATAATTACAATAATATTTAAAAGATTAATGATAATGTTATTTTAAAAAAAATAAGATTAGAGCTTCTAAGGTGAGATTTTTCTATAATTTTCTCTAAATAATTATCTTTTTATTTTTTTGTACAAGCACATAAAAATTATTAAGACATAATTTTTTTATTCTTTTTTTGAGAGTTTTCTCTTTTCAAAACATGATAAATTTGAATTTCAAAAAACATGCTTTTATTAAAAAAACAAATATGTTTCCTTAAAATAAATTAATACAGAAAAAAAGGATTTTGACTAAAGAAAATATTTTTCTCATGAATTTAAATTATTAAAATTCTAGTGAATACCTATTTTAATTACTTTAAGTTTATTGGAAAAATCATTTTGTTAATTAAAAAACAATTGTTCGTCAAAACAGGAAAAAATGCATAAATAAGAAAATAAGGGTTTTGACTAAAGAAACATTTTTAAAATTTTTAAAACCCTTTCAAATATTAATTTGAAATGTTATAAATAAAATTTAACTTCGTTCTTTTATTTATTGCATAGTCTATTACACCAATGTTATTATTAACAAGGACTCTTTGTAGCCTACACTAGTTACATAACCCGCGCGATGCCGCGGGTTAATTTATTTCTGCTTAAAAAATATAAAAAAAAAACTAAGATCTAAAAATATTATGTCTTTCTGCAAAGTTATATCAAAGAGTCTTGGGTTTGGTTACAACACCTGACCCAAGAGTAATATTTATATTATTAATAATAACATTAAACTTGCATGATCCAAGTTGAAGTGGGTCTGTGATTGCAATACTGAACCCAATAGTCTTGGATGTGGGTCTGACTGCAAAGTTGTGTCATAAAGGTATGATAATCAAATAGATTAATTAAAAAGAAAAAAAAAACCAACAGAAAGAAAAAAACTAACAAAGAAAAAGAATTTTTTTTTTAATTAATTGAGTTAACCTTTCAAACCAGGTTAATACGTCAAACCTTGGATTCGTGTCGTGAAAATTTGATAACTAAATAGAAAAAAAAAAAAAATTGATGGTTACCCATAATTAATTGGGCTAGCCTGTGAAACCAGATTAATCCATCAAACCCAGGATCCGTGTTATAAAAGTTTGATACCTAAATATAAAAAAATTTAACAATAACAAACTAAATTAAACAAAAAAAATTAACTAAAAAGAAAAAAAAACAAAAACAAATAAAAGCCATCAACTTTTTCATTATGGACTCTACCGTGTAGTTCATAGTCAAAGGCATAAAAAGAAAAAAAAAAGAAAAAAAAAGGCATCAAACTATAACTAAATAGAAAAAAAATAATATTAGTGAACTAAATTAAATAAAAAATATTAATTAAAAAGAAAAAAAAAACCTATAAGAAGAAAAAAAAACTAATGAAGAAAGAGAAAAAAAATCTAAATTAACTATGAATCAACTGGGTTAACCTATCAAATCTGGAATCCGTGTCATAAAAATATAATAATTAAATAGAAAAAAAATTTAATATTAAAAAAGTAAATACAAAAATAATTTAAAAAACAAAGAAAAATGCTAAAAAAATAAAGGCATCAGCTTTCTCATTGTAGATTGTACTGTGCAGTTCACAGTAAAAGACTTAAAAAGGAAAAAATAAATAAAGGCACGCGCCACGGGTAAATTTTTTTTTCTTGCATAAAAAAATGCTAAGATCTAAGAATGTGTAGGTTTTTCTGCAAATATATACCTAAAAACCTTGGGTTTAGCTGCAACACTCGACCTAAGAGTAATATTTATAATATTAATAATAATATTAAACTTACATGACTCAAGTTTAAGTAAGTCTAACTGCAACACTAGTCCAATAGCCTTGGATATGGGTCTAGCTGCAAAGTAGTGTCATAAAAGTGTAATAATTAAATAGACTAACTAAAAAGAAAAAAAACCAACAGGAAGAAAGAAACTAATGAAGAAAAAGAAAAAAAATTGAATTAATTGGGTTAACCCTTAAAACCTAGGATTCGCATCATGAAAATTTGATAATTACATAGAAAAAAAATTGACAGGTTAACCCATAAATAATTGGGTTAACCCATGAAACTAGGTTAAACCGTTAAACCCGAGATATGTGTCATGGAAGTCTGATAAGTAAATAGAAAAAAATTTAAAATTAACAAAGTAAACTAAACAAAAAAAAATTAATTAAAAAGAAAAAAGAAAAAAAATTTGGGTTAACTTGTCAAACTAGGTTAACCCGTTAAACCCAAGATCCGTACTATGAAAGTCTGATAACTAAATACAAAAAATTTGACATTAACAAACTAAATTAAATAAAAAAAATTATTAAAAAAAAAGTAAATGAAAAAATTTAATTAAAAAGAAAAGAAAAGCAAAAAAAAATTTCGGATTAACTCGTCAAACCGTGTTAATCTGTTAAACTCGGAATTTATGTCATGAAAGTCTGATAACTAAATAAAAAAATTAACATTAACAAACAAAAAAAAATTATTAAAAGAAAAAATAACAAAGAAAGAAGCAAAAAAAAAAAAAAACCCTAAATGCATAAAAAAAACTCATCTTTTACTCAAAAACAAAAAAAACTCTAAAGGCATAAAAAAACAAAAAAAAGCTTATTTTTTATTGTGGATTGCACTGTACAGTCCATAGTAAAAGACTGATCCCTTTTAGTATAGTTTAATATATAGAATTTAGTTATCATTGTATGTGGATCCAATGCCTAATTTTTCATTGCCAACGCAAATCCACCACTTGTTTGTTTATATTTAATTTAATAAAAATAAAATAATAACAAAAATAATCCTTGTATTAACTGTTTTTATTAATTAATAATTAATTCAAAGATTATATAGTCTATTATTAGATTCTATTTTTTGGATGTTAAATATTAAATAAGAATATCAATTAATATTTGATTATAAGTTAATTATCTCTATTAATTATTATTGATCCAATCTAAAATCAAGTCATATCTTTTGTATATAATTTAGATGATTAACCATGTACCTTCTGCCTTCTATATAAAATGATCATATCATATTTTTTAAAAAAACTCTAGAATTGTTTTAATATTGACCTTATCTTTTATATATTGTTTTGTGGATAATAAGAACAATACCCAAACTATATACTAGTTTAGGTATATCATATTAAAACATATTTATTTTTAAAAATAAATTGTTATATTTTATATTACATAATTAATTTTTTATCTAAATTATTTGAAAATTAATTAAAGTTATTAGTTATTATAAAACTAGATAACATCTTCTTCTTTTTTCCATATCTTTTCTCTTTTCAAATGAAATTAGCTCGCATAAATAATATTTAGAGGGATCGATACACTTTGATTGGAGGAGCAATGGATGAGCATTGTTTGGTGAAGGTCCTTCACTTCCTGCAACACTAGCTAAATATAATTTTATTGGGGTAGATTCTATACTTCCTGTAATTTGTTTTTTTTTTTAAGTAGTCTTTCTAGTCTGAGAAACTAATTAATTATTTCCTTTACTTGGTCTTTCATCGCATCCAATATAATATTATTTTATATTAAAAATATCTTATTATTTATTCGATTTTTTTATATTATGTATTTATATTTATATTTTTTATAATTAAATAATAAAATAAATGAAGAAAAAATAATTTATAGATAAACTTAAAATTATAAAAACTAATTAATTAATTTTTAAAATTAAAGAGACTATTTAATTAGTTTTGCAAAATAAAAGAGATTAATTTGTATTTACTCATTGGGTAATCTTGCTTGATTATTTGATTGTTTCTTGTATGCTATTAGGTATATGATTTTTTGGTTTAAGGCTTCCATCATTTGTTGGACCCTTGTTGAAATATGATTTGCATTTTAGGTTGTTAGCCATAAATATATTTTTATAAGATAATTGTTTTGTTTTTTTGTTTTTTGTTTTTTACAATTTTATTCTTATTTTATAATTTTATGAAATGACAAAAGTAACCTCAATTTAATTCTTCAAAGATTAATAAAATAATTCAAATTTTATAATTTCATTTTCCAAATCCAATTTTCTATTGTGTTTTTATTTATTTATTTTTATAAATACATAGATTTTACATTCATGAAAAGTATTGAAAGATTTTTTTTTTAATTATTTCTTATAGTTTAATCTAACATAACGTTTTTTTAAAATACTATATAGATAACAAAACATCATGATCATCAATCGATGATATGATATTATTAAGAGTATTTATATTTTAATATATACTAAGTGATCTATATTTTGATTATTATCGTAAAATTGTTATAATTTTTTTAGAAATTTGCTTGCAAATTATAAAATATTTTTTTACAATAATGATTATTAAGTATAGATTACATAGGTCAAGGAAAACATAAATATCATTATCACGTTAAGTTTATATTTTAAGAAAACAGTTTTCTTTTTATATAATATTTTTTATTGAAATTATATTTTGTATGCAGTGTTTTACAGAATTGATGACATTTTAGTTATAATTAAGAACGCTATTATTGTTATTAACATTAAAGGATGTGGAAAAATCTTGTAGTCAACACTATTATTTTATATACCGTGTTTTGTTTTTAATTTAATCCTTTCACAACCAAATTTTTATCTTTTTTTTTAATTTTATTATTTAATATTAAATTATATTAAAAAATTGTATCCTGTAATTTTTTTTGATTTCTTTTCTATTATATTATATATCATTCTCATAGATTTAGCTTCTTCTTCTTTTTTCATTTCAACCTTCAATAGTTTGAAGTATGGTTATTAGACTCGATACGAGGATTGACTTGACCAACGAACTGGATCTCAAGTTACATGGGTTGACTCAAATGAACCCACATCAACCCAAAAAAATTAAAAAAATATATATGAAGTTTTAATATTTCCTATAAAAAATTAAAAAACAATCCATGTAAATATAAGTTAGATATGTTATAAATAATAAAGTTTAAAATATTATTTCAAAAATTTTTTTATCCCCACATTGAAAAGATATTATAGTAGTATATTATCTTTTTAAGTTGAGGTATTTAAACTAAAATGGTTTTTTATTCCACATTAGAAAAACATAACTTTTTTTCTTGTGAACATAGAATATATATACTAAAGGGTTTTAACTCTTATATTGAAAAAATAATTTTTTTCTTGTGAACATAAAATATATATGCTAAAAGGTTTTAAATCCCACACTGAAAAAATAAAATATTCTTTTAGTATTTATATAGTGAACTTTGAAAATAGTTAATAACCAACTAAAATATATATATATATATATATATATATATATAAAGGGTCTTTGCTTAGGATAAAAAACACATTTGAGAAACAAAAAAAAAAACTGGGTCTCAACTAGGTTTTGTTAGGTCGCCAAGGTCACAGGTCAATCGGGATTTGCTGGTTTTTTCTCTTCTTGGTTTTTTGTCTTATCCAAACCGCTTTAGCCACAAGGTCAACCAAGTTCAATAACTATGATTTGAAGTGGTGTTTCATAGTTTTTTTTTTTTTGCTTTATATAAATTTATCTTGATCTCATGATCTAGGTCGTAGGTGTAACAAGTTAATCCAGGTTGAACATGTTTTTTTTTTTTTTTTTCTGGCCTCTTTTCAATTGATTTTATTCTTCAATATCAAGCTGGTTGGAAAATTGAGCTTTATAATTTTTTTTATTTGCTTTCTATAGAATTTTCTTGATATGATAACCTAAGTAACGAGTTTGATTAGTTGATTCATTTTTTTTTTGTCTTTTTTAATTGTGTATTTTTTTAATTAGGATTCATAATTTTTTTTATTTGCTTTTTATGAAGTTATCTTATTATCATGACTTGGGTTACAGATTTGGAAGGTTGACTTAGATGTAATTAACTATATATTTTTTATCCATTTTTAATTGAACATATGTTTTTTTTTCGATTTCACTATCTAACAATTCAATCAACCTTCTTCCTTTTTTTTTTCATTTTTATCTTTTAATATTGGATTGTTTTAGAAATTGAGTTCATGATTTTTTTTTCAATTTATTTTTTGTGGAGTTATCCAAATCTCATGGATTTATTCTTTTATCTTGATTTTAACCTTTAACATTGAATTTGTTGGAAATGAAACTTCATAATTTTTTTATCAAGTTATTTTAATCTTATAATTCAAGTCATGAGTTTAACAAGTT